TCAAATTATTTCCTAATTGACACTGTGACTTATTCTTGGATCCTTTGAATTCTTAAGGATGAATTATATTTTAAAATACTTTTATTAGTTATTAATGGACCTTTTTTATTTACTTATTCATATGTGGTGCTGAGAATTGAACCCTGTGCCTCACCACTGAACTACAATTCCAGCTCCAAGAGTGAATTATTTCAATTCTAAAAATCTGTGGAATTTCCACTTTTTCTTAAGCTATGGATTATCAATTTACTTCACTATGACTGGAAAAGGCACTTTGTATCATTTCAATTTTTTTAATATTTATTTTTTTAGTTGTAGTGGGACACAATACCTTTATTTTATGTTTTATTTATTCTTATGTGGTGCTGAGGATTGAACCGAGGGCCTTGCACATGCTAGGCAAGTGCTCTACTGCTGAGCAACAACCCCAGCCCTCATTTCAATGTTTTTAAATTTGTTAATGTTCTTTCATGGCTTCATATATGCTGTATCCTGCAGAATGTTCCAGGTGCACTAGGAAAGAATGTATATTCTGGTGGTGGTGGTGGTTCGAGTATTCTGTACCTGTCTGATAGGTCCAGTTGGATCCTAGTGTTCTTCTAGTCCTTTATTTCCTTATTGATCTTCTGTCTGGTTCTTTTGTCAAGTATTGATTATGGGGTATTAGGATTTCCTTCTAGTATCGTATCTATTTCACTTTTTAATTCTTTTATAATTAGCTTCATATATTCAGGAATCATAGTTTTAGTACCTAAGTATTCATAATTGACATTATTCTTAAGAAACTAGCCTTATTTTCCTTATTAAATGTCCTTCTTTGTCTTTTGTAATGGTTTTTATTTAGGTCATTTGCCTAATATTAATACACCAATCTTGTTCTCATTTTGTTACAATTCACATAGAATATTTTTTAATATTCAATGTATTCTTAAGTCTAAAGTAAATCTTTTAGCATTTAATTGGATCTTGCTTTTTTATCCATTCAGCAAGCTTATGTCCTATGATTGTGAAGTTTTATTAACTTATATTTAAAGTAATTACTCATGGAAAAGGACCTGTTCTGCCATTTTGTTCGTTTTGTGTAGGGTTGTGGCTTTTTTCCTCACTCATTTACTCTTTTACTGATATGCTTTATTGATTTTTTGTAGTTATCGTCTTGAAATCTCTTCTTATTTCCTGTTGTTTATTCTACAGATAATTTGTGATTATGGTTGCGATTATTTAAATCATCCTAAAGATATAATATTCTGTTTTAAACTGATCGCAATTTAATCATATACAAAAACAGTACATCTTTGCAGATCCACCACTCCAACACTTCATGTTATTGAAATTGCAAATTCTTTTATGTTGTACAGCATAAAATTATACTTCTTGTATAGTTTTCTCATTTGAAACTTCTATGCCAAAATGATAATTGCATGGGTTATGATATTTGCTCATATTTGTAGTTAAATGGTTTTGTTTTGCTGCTTATTATTGTTTTGATTCCAAAGAATACTTTATCATTACTTTTGAAGCAGGTCTAGTAATAATGAACTCTCTCTCTGATTTTGCATATTTGAAAAAGTCTTAATTTCTCCTTTATTTTGAGGGGTAGTTTGCTGAACACAGTATTCTTGTTTGACATTAATTTGTTTTTGAGTACTTTGGATATATCGTCTGTATTAATTCATTTTTGGATCCTATGGTGAAAAAACTGAGGTTGGGAAAATATAAAGAAAAGAGGTTTTCTTATCCCACAGTTTGGGTGGCTGAAAGTCCAAGTTCAGGTGCTCCCATCAGTTTAGTCTCTGGTGAAGACCTTATGATGTACAGCATCACACTGTCTAGAGCATGAAGGTTTGTGTGTGTGTGTGGGGGGGCACACAAGCCAGCACTATGGATTTGAGCCCTATTTTTGTTTTCAGTGAGAAGGAGGAGCCCCCGTATGAAGTTGTTCCTCCTAGTTTCTCTGCAGTATGATGCATAGGAGAGGTGCATGAATGAGATGCCGATTGTCACAAGTTTCTCTGCTATTTTCTTTGTAATCTCTTCTTGATTTTTATGATAGGCTGGTGTTGTAACTTTTCAACCACTCTTTAGACTTCTCACAGAGGTCTTCTTGTCTATATAGTGCCAATGCAGTGTCTCTGGGGGAAGAAGGTCTTCTAACTTCTTATTGTGCCATCTTCTGATGTCCTTCCTTTCTTGTGTGTTTTACAGCTTGAAGTTCATTCTCTTGACTCATAATTATCATTTGCTGGCTTTGTATTTTTACATTCTTGCTCAAAATTATTTCTTTACTCCTCTTATTTTTGTGGCCATCTACTGGCCTCTTTTATACTTTTTCACATCAAGAATTATATTGTTTATATTTAAGCTCCACATTTCTATATATGCCAACTCCTGCAGTTAACTTGGCCAAGTTCAGTACCAAAATAGGTTACCTGGTCAGAAACTGTCTTTATTATTCCTTGAGATACTTGACTTTACTTTATTTCATTGCATTAGAAAGCCAAAGAATACTTGTAATAGTTGCCATTTGAATTCTTTAGCTTTGATCTCATTTTGTGTGTATAATCCCTCCTTATATTTTATAGTGACAAGATCAAAATATTCTTAAATTCTGATATATTTTGTAATAAAATATTCATTTATGCAATTAAGAGCTCAAATGAATTTAACACAGGCTAGATAAATTCTCAAGGTGTGAATACTCAGGAAGGATTTATTTTTAGGTGTGATCCATAATATGTTTCATGCTACATATGGATGAGTGAATTGGTTAATATTCCTAATTAGCTTACATTTTTGGAGCTTAGAGGCATTTGAAAACATCTGTCTGAATCTTCTGTTGAAGAACATTTTACTTTACATCAGTTATTCTTAATATGTCCTTTGTAAATGCCTACAAGACACAGTCATGCTTCAGAACCTTAATTTGAACTTCAGTGCCCCAAATGCATTATTTTAGTCTTCTGACTAGATCCCCAGATTTCCAGTCACTCTACTGATCTTTCTAACCTCTCCCTCATTTTTCACTTGCCACTTAATTTCTTCTTTAAGTGTGGCCCATAAACAAGCTGAAATACTTGGAGTGATTTAGCATTCTCCACCTCAGTATAACAGTATATTGGGCTTATTTGGGTTTGTTTCACAACAAATATGCATTATTTGCATGTTGATAGGTGATTCCTTTTTTAAACTATATTTTTGTTGTAGATGGACATAATATCTTTATTTCATTTGTTTTTGTTTTTAATTTGGTGCCAGGTATGGAACCCAGTGCCTTATGCATAGTCGATGGGCCCTCTACCACTAAAACATAGTCCTGGCCCCTGGCAGGTGATTCTTATATATCCTGAAGCTTGACAATTGTCCTATAAATACATAGAATTATTCTCTGTATTTGATCCATGTTTTAGTCAGCTTTGTGTCACTGTGGCCAACAGACCTAACTGGAAAAATTTAGAGAAAGAAAAGTTCATGTTGGTTCGTGGTCTCAGTGGTTCAGTCCATGATTGGCTCCCTTCATAGTTCTAGTACAAAGTGAAGCAGAAGAATGTGGCATAGAAAAGCTACTCAGTTTATGACAGCCAAAAAAGCAGAGAGAGAGAGAGAGAGAGAGAGAGAGAGAGAGAGAGAGAGAGAGATCGATCTACTCATCAGGCACAAAAGGAGTACTCCTTGTGACCTTCTTCCGCCAGTCACACTCTGACTACCCACTGCCACCTATTTAGTCCATTCAAGTGGATTTATATACTGATTAGGTTATAGATTTTATAAACTTGATCAGTTATCCACTGAAGATTCTTGCATTGTCTCACAGTGAGCTCTTAGGGGACACCTCATACTCAAACCTTACCCAGTACATTGTAAAAATTTTTTACATCCTAAAAATCTTAAAAATTTAGATGAGGTATATAGCAGAACCATTGTGCTATCATAAGTAAAATGACTGCTCATTATCAAGTAATAAGATAGTTGAAAAGCATTTCAATTGATTCATTAAAAAGTGGGTTGTGAGACACTCACACATCTCATTTAATAATGATCCATAATGATATTTAGGGAACAAGTGTGTGCCTCATAACTGACAAAATAAACATTTCCAGCTATGAATGGATCCTTCCTGTATTCTGGAGTTCAAGGCCTGAAGACTGCTTTCACTGTCAGGTAATTTTGTGGACCTAGTATAATTCTGTTCTGATCACAGAAAATGACTTTGGGGAAATACTTGAGTTTCCTCTTCCTTTTCATTTGTAATGTAAGAAAGTCCGATTTGCTGGCATTTAAGTTTCTGCTCTAAGGCTCTAGACCTGGAAATCCTTGATATAGTTGAAAAATGCCACAGACTCAAGTTCTCCACTTTCTCTAATTCTGAGATATTTCAAATACTTATCCTCATGTGGAGATTTATTAATCCATGTGTGCCTTTAGAACTAAGTTAAGAGTATTCTGTTGATCTTCTTCTCATTACTTTTTCTGTTGTATTATTAATAATTCTTTCCCAAATTGGTAGCTTCACTTTTTTGTATGTCATAATTGGGGCACATATATTTTAGAAAGACTATAGAACTTCAATTCAATTCAAATAGTATTATGGATTTCTTTTTGGTATGAATTTATGTACTTAGTATTAGGCATTATTCATCTTAATTGCTTAGTGCTTGGGGAATATCTTTACATTTGAACTTTACATAAGTGCCTCATTTGCTTCAATATGGGCTTGGCCCCCAAAATAGTGGAACAAGAATAAAGAAGCCTTTCCAGAATTTTGTTATAGAACAGATCAATTAATTAAAAAGATAGATAACACCTGTGTAATTAAAGTGGACACCAGTAAATGGATTAGCTCAATAGTTTATGGTGAAAACCCTCAAAGAGAAGTATGGGGGGTGGGGACATAATAAAAACAGCAAAGCATTCAGATAGGGCATTTCCTTTTCCTGAACTTGCCTCATAGAACTTCAATCTTGCCCTTCTACACAAATTTGTTCCATATTTCCCAGTCTGCAATGGACAGACAGGTGGTATATGCTGATTTAAGCTTATCCAGGGGCCAAGGCTCTGAAAGGTCTGTACCTCTATCTCTTCCCCAAGGTAAGTGGCTTTATGTCTCCTTTTGACTTTAATATAATCAGAGTTAGATTTTTTCTTTTACGTTTATGGTCTTAAGTTATTTCTGGAAAGAAAATCAGTTGTTCTATGTTAGTGTTAGGTGTAGTATAGTTTGCTTGTAGATAATGATTTTGGACAAAAAAAAAGCGTGTAAATTTCTTTTATCAAGATATTCAGCATGAAATATGATCCTGTGGCTTATGGAGTCTGAGATGAATGACCTTAAAACATAATATTTTGCATATATGAACAAAAGAAAGTTTTAAGAGAGACATTGTAAGCTTGCTGTAATAGCATCTTAGATTATTCTAAATCCCGCTACAAAATAATAATCCTATAATTAAGCTGCAGTGCAGTTGCATCTACAGCATTTCTGTCAGTATGCAAAGTTCAGACTTAGTAATTAACACCCTCTTCCTTCCAAAGAGAAGAGAGATAGTCATATTCAAGATGAAAGACTTGAATTATAATTCCAACCTAATAGTTTCTAACTTGAAAAGTATAACAACTTAAATGGTCACAAGATACTGGAGCATATTAGTAACAACAAGCCCATTTAAATTTTGTGAAAATTGGCACACTTCTTTATGTCAGGGGATTTAGTAATCTTAGTGAAAGAAATAGAAAGGCTAATGAGACATAATATATGATGGCCTGACCTGGGGACACATGAGGAGGCTAGAAACTGAAGCAGAAAATGTGTATAAAATTGCCGTGATGTAGTATTACGTTCTGCAGTCCAGTTGAATTTATTGACATCAATAACATTACAATTGATTTTCAAGTTGATATTTATTTCATATTATGGCAGTCATATGAATCATAATTTTTAGTAATTCTTGTTATAAGTTTGAAAGTACTAAATTATCAAAATTCTAAATCATGAAGAAGAAAATCTTACAGTCATCAAACAAGTCGCACTATAATCAACACTTGGAATAAGAAAATCAGAAGATTTTGATAACTACAGGGAGAAAATGAGTGAGCCAGGCATTTTTTCTGATGGGACAAATCAAGTCTCTGTTTTCCTCTGTTCAGGCATGGGAAAAGTGGATTAGTAGGCTTGTTTAAAGGGGGATCAGAAAATGAATTGAACATAGAGAAATGTTTTAAGGCTTTGTCCAAACATTACCTTTTGTAATCTTGGAAAATTTGTCTACTCCAATTACAATTGTTCTCATACAAAATATCACTCTGAATATAAATCTCAAAAAAAAAAATAGTAGAATAAACCAGAGCAAATGGTGTGACTATAGAATACCGAAGTGATAGTGTGAAGATTGTTCTATTATGGACTCTTTGGCTAAACTGTTCGTGTTGTGGTAAATGTGTAACACAGTGATGAGGTGGATCAAGGCAGTCAAGGAAACCAGAAAAGGAGAGGTGAGCAATGACCTGTTTCACTTGTGGTCAAGTGGCCAAAAAGGCTTTATGTATCAGAAAAAAAGCGTAAAAGTTATGGAAATTGCCTCTAAAGGTTATTTATTTATTCACAAAGAAGCATCTGCACATTCCAAGAATGCTCTAAACACTAAGGACAGGGAAGAAAACAAGATAGATAATTTTTTTTTTTTGCCGCACACCGTTTCTATTACCCTGGAGGTATGCAAACAATAAACAAAAGCCAAAATCTGTGTAGAAGACTGGATGGCGTTAAGTGCTATCGAGAAAAAGAGTTTCAAGAGCAAATTAGTATTTAGGTTTTTGAGATGGTGTCACAGAAAACACAAAAATTATTAACAACCTGCACTAAACATGATATGGAAGTCAAGACCTGAGGAAAGTGAAGGACAAAGACATGCTCTGGGACAAAAGCCTTCCAAGAAGTTGGATGAGCAAATGCAGAAACCTTGAGATGAGAACACACGTGTTCATCAAGTAGGAGGAATATGCAGGCAGCATATATGAGCAGATGGGGAGAAAATCAGGTAATCCTGACCCATATTGAAGAGGGATTTTCAAACCATTTTGTATACTTAGGTCTGCTAGATGGAAAACTATTTAAAGGTTTTAAACAATGGCTATGATATAATATACTGTTTATACCAAATACAAATTAGCCCTAAGCAGGTACCTTCAGGTAACTAAATTTCACCTGGCCTCTTCCAGTGCTCAGCTGTAACTTCATTAAATTTAATCTAAGCAGAAACTCTTACTACCAGAGAGCAGGAATAAGATACTCCACTTGATTTCATAAATTTTAGCATGAATGAATAACACAATTTAAAAGTCACTTAAGTTGCCCTATTTTTTTTAGACAAAACAAAAAACTACTATTGACTAAATAGTTACAATGTCCCAGACTCTAGACTTAGAATTTTAGAATTATTTTATATAATTTTCTACAAAATCTGTGATGTAGGTATTATCCAATTTTACAAGTGAGAAAATTTGTGGTTTATGAAGATTGAACATATTGTCTCAAATCTCAGGTCTGCTAGATTTGGAAAAAAAAAAAAACTCTGTTCTTAGTCAATTCTAGACTAAGGTGATAAGCATTAGTGTAATGACTGTATGAAATTTTCTTCATTTTGCAAACAAACTTGGAGTTCCAAGGAGAGATGAGTAAGGAAGAAAAAAGACAGAAATGTAAAATACTATACATATATAAAATGAGAAGGAAATCCATCCTAGTGCTATTTTAGGCTTATTCACTGGGTTGAGTCACTCTGGGTCACAATAGCTTTTATTAGAAATTTTAGACCAGTACTGGCTCTGGGGCCTTGGCGTCTCCTCCAGTTGTCTACTCCAATCCCCACCTCCACTTATTCAACAGGTGCCAAATAGTGCCAGATGATAACTTACATTCCAATTCTTTGAGTCTAATGTAATGTTTCCTTCCATAGCGTTCCTTTGTCATATTTTACTCTACAACCCTTCCTCAGCATCCACAGAGGATTGATATGAGAATCCTTGTATATACCAAAATCTATGGATGCTCAAATCACATTTAAAATGTTATAGTATTTGTATCCATCTTATGTGCATATTCTTGCATGCTTAAGTTATATCAGATTACTTACAGTAACTAAGATAATTTAAACACTATTTAAATAGTTGCTAAGGTGCATTGTTTAGGGAATAATGACAAGGAAAAAACAGATATATATTTCCAGAATGGGTGCAATGTGTTTTGCCTGTGATTTTTTTTTAAAGACAGAGTGAGAGAGAGAGGGAGAGAGAGAGAATTTTAATATTTATTTTTTAGTATTTGGTGGACACAACATCTTTGTATTGTTATGCTTGAATTCGGGACCCCCAAAAGACTACCAGAGACCCAAGATGGATGTAAGCAGCAAAGAGGTGTTTATTGTGAGCTAGCTCAGTCCTCCGCGCACACACAGCAACAGGTGATGCTAAGAGGCCCCCAGAGCTCAGGGTTTGCAGCAGTTTTATACATTCTTTGGAGAAGGCAGGGATCCCCACATACATCATAGCATATCCTAGCAAATCATCACAAACCATGGGAAAATCAAATAACAGCTCTAAAACATGATTATCCCATTCACTGGTGGGAACAAGTTGGGTAGGGGTGATTGGTCACTACAAGAGGGGGATTCATTTGAACTGATTGGTTTAAATTATGAGGATGTAGCAAGGGGAGTACATGCCAAACTTCATGGCTACTATTTTAGATACTGATCACCACACCTAGGTGGGGGCCATCTGGAATTTCAGATATGTGGTTATCTTGGCCTATCTTAGGTGGTCACCATCTGAGGCATTTCCCAACTGTTTCCACAGAGCTTTTCTGTAGTATTTTCCTGACTTTAGGACTACAGTAGGTCAGAGGTTAAGTTTCAGAGCAAAATGAGGTCCCAAGCAGAAGAAGATTGCTTAGGTCTTTCAGTATGTGGTGCTGAGGATGGAACCCGGGCCATACACATGCCAGGCGAGCTCGCTACCACTTGAGCCACATCCCCAGCCCATTGCCTGTGAATATTTTTGATCTGTGGTTATTTGAATGTGCAGATATGAAACCCAAGGATAAGGGGGATGATTGTACTAAATTCTATTTCTTTGAGAACATTTAAAAAAAAGCTAACTCATGTGTGTGAATGTCATAACTTTAATAGGAGAAATCATTAGTGTTTGTGTGCAATCTGAGTTATACAACTCAATTTCCCCCAATGGCAGTATTTAAAAAATAAAAAAAAAGTAGAACTTGCCATATAGGGTTTTTGGAATATGTAATGTAATGAGAACGAAAGACAGTATTATACATATTGGATGTTGACATTTTTTAACATTTAACTCAAAGAAGGTAATCATCTACACTAAGAAATATTAGAAAAATAGAAAATGTATATGTTGACAGCTAAAGATAAATTAGAAACTTTTACTTCTAGTGATCTTGGTCCCAATAATAATTTTTAAAAGTAATATATAAAGGAACTTATGAAATACATTATAAATCAAAATGAGGAGATCTTACAATTAAATCACATAAAGGAGGTATTTAAGTCTAAGTTTGAACAGGATAGCTTAGACGGAAACTATCAGAATCATTTCCTGCTAACTTGATTTAACTTGGGGAGCTTTATCCCAGTGTTTCTCTATATTTGTATTTTTTAAATAAGCTCCTCTTTATTGTTTTTCCTTATGAAACCCTGTTTTCAACATTGTCCTGAAGCAAAATAAATTGACATTAGATTAATTTATAATCACATTTCATAAATTAATTAACATAATCTCAATGTCTGATAAACATGAGCTATTATATAGTTATTGATATGATACTTAGAAAAACAGAGATATCAGGTATTTTGTTTAGACCATGCAATGCTTTAGGCATAAGTACATGTTACATTTAACAACTGCAGTCTCTCCTTATCTGTAGATTTGCTTTCTGCAGTTTCAGTTTCCTGTGGTCAACATTGGTCTAAAAATGTTAAATAGAAAATTCCAGACATAAACAATTCATGTTTTAAACTGCATGCTATTCTCAGTAGCAGGATGAAATCTTACACCATCCTTCCCCTGGAAATGAATCACACCTTTGTGACCCACCTGTTAATCACAGTTCTGGTGTTCAAATTACCCTTATCTGAATTGTGGCCCCCAGATGCAAAAGTAGTGGTGTGAACAATTCAGTTGTACTAAAGACAAGCCATAAAGAGCTTCTTATAAATGGTATTGTGAAAGTCCTCTAATTAAGGCAAGAATAAATATCTTATTCTGAGGTTGCTGATCTGTATAATAACAAATCTTCTACCCATGAAATTGTAAAGAAGGAAAGAGAAATTCAGCTGGTTTTGCTTTCTCATTTTAAACAGCAAAAGGTACAGCCATAATGTGTGGTGAGGGCTTGGTTAACATGGAAAAGTGCGTGTGTAAAAGACAGTGAATAGAGATCTTGTTACTGTTCATAGTTTCAGACATCCTTGAAGGGGCTTAAAATATTCCCTCAGATAAGGGGGACTACTGGAGTTGAAATACTGAAAATAATGTCCTCACTAACAAAATATTCTTCCTTGAATGCCATACGTTTGGAAAGATTTGGAGATGACTATTCTAGAACAGTCAAGCAGAATGGAATTATTGTATATCATCATACCTAACATAGTACTTGGCACTAAATGGAGCCTCAGAAACTATATTTTGAGGGCTACAGTTGTGACTTAGCAGTAGAGTGCTCGCCTAGCATGTGCAAGGCTCTGGGTTCAATCCTCAGCACCATATAAAAAAATAAATAAATAAACTACAGGTATTGTGTTCAACTACAACTAAAAAGTAAATGTTCTCCTTAGAATGCTTTGACTTTCTGGCTACAATAGCATATGCAATTTATTTTTGTATAGCGCTTGGAAATTTTCAAAATGTCTTCCCATCTATCATATTTGTATCTCATATTAATCCTTTATATAGAAAATATGTGCAAGTATTCCTGTTTTATCAATGAGCAAACTCTCAGTCTGATCTAAGAATCTATCCTGTGTAATACTACTTTGAAGATGGTTGATAACGGTTCTTTCCTGCCCCAAATAATTTCTCAACTTGTATCTCATGGTTTATATGTTGTATTATACAAAACACCACTTTTGATTTTTGTGCCAGATGTCCTCAACCTAATTTGCTAAGTTTTTTTGTTTGCTCGTTTGTTTGTTTTAATACTCAGATGTCTCTCAGGGTACACCTTGGCACCAACTGGCTTGGAAACTTGGCTGTGCTGGGATAATTATTCTTCTCTTGAGTGTGTTTGGGTTGAGTGTTCTAGGTAAGTGAAGCAAGGTATTTGCTTCAGAATATCTACTCTATCTCCATCATAAATATAGGTGTATCTTATCATTATTTGGCTATTGTAAATTTATTAAAAGATGAACAAAATGAAAATTTATAAGACAATTCTATGCCCATTTAGCCCATGTCCACATTGGAAACTTGACATTTATTTCACATTTCTCTTTCTAATTATTCTGAGCATAATTATGTATATTACCCCATAATTGTGCTCCAGTAACGGTTGTGACCCAAAGATTGTGATAACAAAGAAAATTTAAAATTCTGATTATGTACCTTTTATTAAGTACCTACTTAATTCCAGATGGCAGTAGACAAGCCCTCCCTTGGAAATAGCACAATTACACTCATTCTGAAGATGAGAGAGTTCAGGCGACAGTATAAGCAATTTAACAGTTTTCAGTAATTCCCTTAAGCAGACTTATCTAATAGATAAATATGAAACCTAATATCTGCAGGAGTTCACTTGTTCTGTGTTTTTATCTTGTTTATTTATGTATGCTGTCTCCAAACTAGAACCCTTGGTTACCACAATACAATTGGTTTCATCTGTTCACATTAGTTTGTTGAAATAACCTAGCTTCCTTAAAATGATGACATATCCATTCCACCACACATTTGGGTATCTAATCCTCTTAATGTATTTTCCCTTTATTTACTAGTGATATCCTTAATACAAAAATCACCAATGGAAAAGAGCAGTGTGGATATTCAAGAGAAGAGGAATTATACAACAGGTAATATTGTGCCTTGAATTTCCTAAAAATAACAGCTAATAATCAAGAGTAAAACTAAAACAGATGCATGGACAAAGAGAGCACCAATGGATAACAGTGAGGAGTGTGTGTGGATGGAGAAGAGATAAGGAAAGGAGGACATTCCAGAAACCATAAAAAGAACAGGCAAAGGGATGGGGATGTGGCTCAAGTGGTAGCGCCCTTGCCTGACATGTGCAGGGTGCTGGATTCGATCCTCAGACCACATAAAATAAAATAAAGAAGTTGTGTCGATGGAAAAAATTAAAAATAAATATTTAAAAATTCTCTCTCTCTCTCTCTTAAAAAAAAGAACAGGCAAAAACTCCCCCACCAGATTCTTCCCCGCTCTTGGACCCCTTGTCTTTGGAGAAGTCTATCTCTGTATCTCTGTGGCTTTTGTAATAAACCTACTTCTTGCTTGCTACCTCTGTGTCCTGTTCTTCAATTCTTTGCTGAACAGAAACAACAAACCCAGCACCCTTAGATGGTAATAGTCATAATCAAAGACTTCTGAGTATTTATAACAATGCGTATGTGTGGCTGTTTGGGGTGCAGCAGGGACAGATTAGAAATACAATACTTACTTATTTCTTCTTTGTTTTTACTATAGAGGCACCAGGTCAGTTACAGTGCCCTAAACATTGGCTTCAGCTCCAAGATAAATGCTTCACTATTTCTAGTTCTTCCAAAACTTGGAATGACAGTTTAGCTGACTGCTCCCAAAGAGAATCCAGTTTGCTGCTCATCCAAGATCAGGAAGAATTGGTAAATTGTTAAATAAAATTCTTTATATAACTTAACACATTTTAAAGACTGCATCAAGACAGCTGGACTTCAGACAAAGTTTCTGTGCAACGCAAGTGGAAACTTTGACTTCAAGGAGCTCATAATTTGGGAGACTGAACAGTCATATAACAATTTAATATAATATAATAAATAAAAAATAAATAGAAATATATGTAGAGAGAAATATCACAAAGAAAGAAGAAATAACTCATTGGGGAGTTGGGGAATTAGGAAAGACTTCAGAGAGGAGGTGATCCTTGAACTAGATTTTAGGGCATGAGAAGAATACAAATCATGGTTAGATAAGCAGATTCAATATTGAGTCATGTATTTTGTTTCAATTATAGAGATTCATACAGAACCTGATAAAGAATGAAGGAATTCTGTATTGGATTGGACTAAATTTTACATTATCAGAGAAGAAGTGGAAGTGGATAAATGGCTCTTTATTAAATCATGACATGTGAGTATTAGGTGAGCTCATTTGAATATGTAGTTCACATCAGGTTCACATTGCAAAGTAGTAACATTAATGAATATTGAAGACTGAATTTTATAGTTTTAATTTGGCTTAGACATTCTCCATAGGTTCAAAATAGGCTGGAAAGATGAATAACTCCAAAGTTGATTGGAAAATGCTATGTATGAAAAGACATCAGCCCTTTATAAGAACATGTTTGCATCTGCAATGGAGTATTAAAGGAGAAGGACTAACTCTTTGGGAGGGATACATAAATTTCTTTTGAAATGTCTCCATGGAGACTATTGGCACATAGAATTTCCAAAGCAGCATTTTTAAAATTGTGATGGAAAAGCATCATAGTGGATCATGATCCAATTCAGTAGGTCCCAACCAACATAGAAAAAATAAAAGATTATAAAGGAAAAAAATAATAAATATCAGAGTGTGGAACTTAGATTCAGGACAGGGACTACCTGCATTGAGGCAAGCATTATAGTATATTATATTATATAGTATATAGTATATTTAGACAGTTATTTTGGGGAATGTGATAATATATGCATAAACCACAAAGAAGGCACTTGTTATTTTCTCTTAAGTATTTCATTTTTTTATTGAATAACATTGTCAAGAGAGCCCTCAATGTTAAATTACATATTTTTAACAGAATTCATGGATAGTTATATAGCAAAGAGCAGAGTACTCTTTTCTTTCACAAGCAAAAGCACAAAGGGATCCAACCAAGATTCTGTAAGGAAAATCCAATGAGTTTTTCTCAAGAGATGATATTGAGTGTTAGTTAGTGAATCTTGAAAAATTTAATTAAATTTGCATACATTCAGACTTAAAATGTATTTTTTAATCATTGAGGTATTGTAAAATACAGTGTTAATGTATTAAGTATGGACAATATTAAACATTTAAAAGAATGTTGGCTTAATTGGCAAATTTTGACATTATAGAGCCCATCTTCTAAAATATTTTTTGAATATTAGATTTTAAAATGAAGATTATTCAAAAATAATTTAGCCTTTTTGAAAAAGGAAATATATATATCTGTTTAATCAAATCTATCCTGATTTTTCATAATGTTTTCTGGGTATTTTTTCTATACTTTATTTGTATTGAAATTAAGTTTGAGTTCGGTGTGCTGGCACACACCTGTTATCCATGTTACTTGGGAAGCTGAGAAAGTTCAAGGCCAGCCTCAGCAATATACAAGACCCTGTCTCAAAATAAATTAAAAGGTCTGGGAATGTAGTTTAGTGGTTAAAGTCCCTTTAAAAAGATATTAATTTGACTTTAATTTATTATTTATCTTTTTATACATAATAAGGATTAATTTAGATTCATTAAATAAAGTTAGTGTGTGTGTGTGTGTGTGTGTGTGTGTGTGTGTGTGTGTGCATGTTTTAACTGGGCTATGATGTAAAAGGTTTATTTCATTGTAGTCATAGTAAAAATAAGATTTGAAAACATGTGTCCGTGAAGAAATATATTCAGTGGATGGATTAAATTCATGTGAGCCTCCTACTTTAGCCTGAGGATAAAATTGGAGGCTTTGAGATGTAGTCACCAGGTCCACCTTGGAAGCTGTTATGGTACAGTAGAAGGGGATCCAGTTAAATTCTGCATTGCTTTCAACTTTCTAGAGCCTTGTTTTCAAATAAAGGGAAAGAAAGGAGAGGATAATATATTTCTATAGAATTATTTGGGAATTAAAGAGGATAATGTTAGAGAATTCATCAGACATCTGGTTAGGGAAGGACCAGCAAGCCATTGAGGGTCTTTTGAAAGAGAGTCACTGACTTGGCCAGATTGGCCTCAAAGAAATTACCCCCAAAATTGAAGAAATACTTCAAAGGTTATGAGACATAAAATCTAGGGGCTGTTTCCAACAGTCTAGTTAAGGAAAGTTCACGGTTTGACCAGAAGGCTGGCACTGGAATAAATCAGATTAGCTGCTCAGGCCCAATGGGAACATGAAGAAGAGGAAGAAAGGAGAAAAACAAAAACCATGATGGAGCCCTGACCACTGCCTCTACCACCTTCTGTTTGAGACAAACATAAGGGAGCCTTAAATTCACCTCTCCCTTGCAGCCAACCCCATATTAGCCCTTCCCATTGTTCAAATTTTATTCTCATCCCCACCTACAATAAACCACAATATCCATTGTTGTTGGAACTAAAGTAGATTGAAGCAGATACCCACCAACCTCTGCTTGGAATGAGGATGAAAGGAACTCTGACTACATGCACATGAACTGCATCTCCATTCCCCTGCATCCACTTCTATAGACCTTACATAGGCTTTCTTCATCAGGTCTCAGTTACCAAAACAGACCCTTGTTTAAGCATTGTCATACATTTATGTTTCATCTCAGTGCCTCACCCAAACATGTTGTTAGAACCCATTTATTTAAGAAAACTGAGGATCAGTGAAGTCAAGAGACTTCATAGAATGTACTATAGAATAGGGAGGTTTAATTCCCAGTTTCCAAAGGTTCTATATATATATATGTCTGTGTTAATTCTCAAGTTTCTTCTTAGAAGGTTTCTTTCCAAGTGAAGATGAAGTTCCAGAGATTTATATTAACTTTATCTCAAAATTTTATATTATTATGTTTGAGAAAATCCCAAACAGTAAGAGAGGTTTTTATTTTTCTCCTCAGATTACAAATTTTTGGTGAAAATAAAGAAAACAGCTGTGCTGCTATCTCAAAGATGAAAGTATTTTCTGAGAACTGTAATTCAGAAAACAAATGGATCTGTGAAAAGAAACTAAAAGCTGTCAGAAATAAAGTGTCTTGACTATAAAGCCCATCTCAATTTATTTACTTTCCATTACAGATCTTTGTGATTTTAATTCTGTGTATTGTAAAAACTGTAGATTTAGAGGCATAAAATAGACAACTGCAGAGAATTCTAAAACTATAAGGAATCTTACAGAATGTCCAATCCATGAATTCTGTAAGTGAAGAAAAAAGACACAGACATATTATTTTAAGAGACAGTGATATTCTATGGAAAGCAGCCCAGGACAGCTGAAAGGAAGTGAATTTTAATCCTGAAGACAAAGTGTGGCCTTTGCTAATCCCTCTAATCCTCAACTCAGATGAGGTGTAGTAAATGATTCCTAAAGTCCTGTGCAACTCTCATAGTCTGTCTTATTCTGTACTATCACACAACTGAGTTGTGGAAGAACATGATGAAAATCCTTTCTCTTAACTCTGACACCAGACCCATAAGGAATCTGAGAAGGGGTCCACTATAGTCTGGATGTCCCCTTCAAAACTCTTGCTGAAATTTAATTGTCATTGCAACAGTATTCAAAGGTAAGCCCCTTAACATATTAACCCATTCAGGCTCCACCATCACAAATTAGCTCAATACTGTTACCATGGGAGTGGTTGTTAGGAAAGAGAGCTCTCTCCACATGGCGCCCTCTGCCATGTCATGATGCAGCAAGAAGCCCTCACCAAGTGCTGGCACCTTGGTATTGGAATTCCCAGCCTTCAGAACTGTGAGAAATAACTTCTTTTCCTCTTTGTATTCTGTTATAGCAACAGAAAATGGACTAATACAAGTTTTTGGCTCTTCTCACCCTTCCACAGGCCTTCCCATTTTAATTTTCTAAACACTTTCTTTCTTCCACATCTCCTTCTTTCTATGGCTCACAAACTATACCCAAAAATGTAATCATATCTTTCATTATTCTAATAAAAATTAAATGACATGTTTTCTTCAGCTCTTCATTTGGGTGAATTAAAGTAAAACCAGAAAGAAGTGCTTATTTTTTTAGATCCCTTGAATGTTCACTTTTCTAAAAATATGCCACATTTTCCTAGGGAGACAAGTAATGATATTGAATTTACTATAAATTAATAAAATTTCTGTAAAAGTAGACATATACTTACCCTGAATATTCAATGACAAAATGAATTATATAAATTCAAGTAGTATAATGACCAAAATATCTTGATTTTATTTCCTAAGATTGAAAATTTATAATACTTATTAATATGTTCTGACCTGCCATAAGTATATTAAAATCTGACAATAATTTATCTTATAAAAATTACATGGGAAACAAATTATTTAGGAAAACATCTTAAGTGAAAACATCATCATAAAACAAAACAGCACATAATAGTAATGATATTTTAAAGTTTATGACACTTCTGGGATAAGACCTATAATGACACTAACAGAATAGAAATCTGAAGAAATGTTTTCATAACTGACAATGTGCAATCACACCTCTTGGAAAGGTGACCATAGTAACATTCTAAAATGATTCAGGATAAGACTCTGTAAGTCCATTCATTTAGCCCAGAATTTTTCCACACATTGACCTTTCCCACCTGATCCTTAGGACTAAAGGCAAATGGACCTAAAGCATATATCTACAAGAAAGTTTTCCAGTGAAGCTAACCTAAGAAGTTAAGTAATCTATCACTGTCATTTCTATTTCAGTGTTAAATAATTAACTAAATTAATATTGGATACAATACTGCTGTGATCCCCTCAAACAATAAAGGCAGTAAAACTCAAACTATAAATGAAGTAAAATCTACATGACTTTCATGTCCAACCATCTCTAAGTAGGTTTAAAAACCATTAGGGCAAAATATTTGGCTGCATTATTTGAGTACCACCGCCACCACCATGCTCTGGGTCCGCGCCCCACTCGCCACCACCGCAGACCAGCAGCAGCTGCAGCTCTCGCCACTGAAGGGGCTCAGCCTGGCCAACAAGGAGAACATGTCCCAGGCCCTCAGTGCAACCCGAATCCTGGTCAGCAAGACTGCGAGGAGGATCTTCCAGGATCCTGTGGAGCCCAAACTAAAGTAGCTGCCCCCAGCGTGGAGGGTGAACCACTACTGGGAGAGAGCCCCCACCGCTTGGTCATCTTTCCTATGGAACACCATGGTATCCGGCAGATGTGTAAGAAAGCTGAGGCTTCCTTTTGGACAGCTGAGGAGGTGGCTCTTCCAGGGACATTCAGCACTGGGAAGCCCTGAAGCCTGAGGAACAATATTTTATATCCACATTCTGGCTTTCTCTGCGGCAGGTGATAGCATAGTAAAGGAGAATTTGGTGGAGCCATTTAGCCAAGAAGTTCAAATTACAGAAGCCCGCAGTTTCTATGGCTTCCAAATTGCCATGGAAAACATACATTCTGAAATGTATAGTCTTCTTATTGACACTTATATTAAAGACTTCAAAGAAAGGGAATTTCTCTTCAATGCCACTGAAACAATGCCTTGTGTGAAGAAGAAAGCCATGGGCCTTGCATTTGATTGGGGACAAAGAGGCTACCTATGGAGAACGTGTTGTAGCCTTTGCTGCTATGGACAGAATCTTCTTTTCTGGCTCAAGAAACGAGGACTGATGCCTGGCCTCACATTTTCCAATGAACTTATTAGCAGAGATGAGGGTTTACACTGTGACTTTGCCTGCCTGATGCTCAAACACCTGCTTCACAAACCATCAGAGCAGAGAGTAAAAGAAACAATTATCAATGCCTTCAAGATAGATCAGGAGTTCCTCACAGAAGCCTTGCCTGAGAAGCTAATTGGGATGAATTGCACTTTGATGAAGCAGTACATTGAATTTGTGGCAGATAGGCTTATGCTGAAGCTGGGCTTTAACAAGATTTTCAAAGTAGAAAATCCATTTAACTTTATGGAGAATATTTCACTAGAAGGGAAAACTAACTTCTTTGAGAAGGGAGTAGGCGAGTATCAGAAAATGGGAGTGATGTCGAATCCAACAGATAATTCTTTTACCTTGGATGCTGACTTTTAAATGAACAGAGGATGTGCTTTTATTTGGCTGATTTCCCCCCTCCCTTATCACCTACCCCCCATCCCCCCAAATCAGCTAAAATGAATCCACCAGCTACACCATTGTCCACAAGTTGATTAATGGCATCTAAAAAACTGTGCAGCTACCTCAGAATCCTTGTTGGCTTTTGCAAGCAGCTGTCCAGCTTCAAAGCACTAATGATGACGGCTTCCAAGTGAGGGACCCTCAAGCAAGCCTGCCGCAGAAGGATTGAACATCAGTTACAACCTCCAGACAGTTAAGGTGTCAGTCTCACTGCTACAAAGAAGACTTTAAAGTTCACTTAACTAGTTTGTAAATAAAACTGGCATTTTACACACAAATGATCATTGTATTGTCAAGGGAAAAGCCTGATTAGTTTGGTTTCTACAACAAATGCAAAGTGTTGTATTTACCACTAATGGCCAATTCAAAATTCACTAAACAACTAAAGTTAAACTTCTGTTGACTCATATGTAATTTAGATTTTGTTTTCTTTAATGAACTGAAGTATTTAATAGATTTTTAAGTCAGTCCTGTGCATATGCAGACTTTAGCCAGCTGGTGCCAGTAGAAGACAATTTGTGTATTTTATTCTGGACCCCAGATAGGGTGTCAGCATGTCTTTCAGGGCAAGGAGCTTCTAACTTAAGTCACTGGGAATTGAGATGTGATTTGGGTGACTACTAGTGACCCAGTGACATGTGAGGAACACTATCATTGTTTCTCCGATTGTACTTTCCTCAATTTCTACTTGGTATGAAAAGACTTAAAAAGGCCTTTGGATTTAAGATGCTATTATGACTTTTCAGGTCATCCTTAGACAAAGTGACCTGACTCAGCTTTTCTATTAATAGTGGTAAAACCAGAACTGGAATGGGCTCTCCTAGATGTTGTGTTTATTTTTAACTTTGTAAATAGGTACTGTTGAGGCTTGATCTTTTTTACCTGACTCTTTAATTAGAAAATATGTTTTACTCTATGTATATTTAGGTTTTATTTGTTTTGGGGGAAAAATCACCCAGTATTATCTTGAAGACATTGTTCTAACTATTCTAACATTTGCCTAAATATGAGCATCACCTGGTGAATTCTTTAACCATTAGGAAATCAGTGCTGGAAGGTTCTATTAAAACATGTTTCATTCAAATGTTAATTTCAGGTAGAGGTATAGTTAACAGCCAGTTTAGATAAATCTACCTTTGGAATAAAAAAACCCAAGGTGTTACACAGAAGATGGTGCATGACTTGTATTGATATTTGGCCCTGTTTGTTAACTGATTGGGTTGTGTATTAGCTGACCGTTTGTCAGTTTCCTTTTATTGTATAGTCCTTGAATTCCTATGAGACTCTTGTATCTTAAATTATTGTTGCTTAAAGTTAATAAATTAGGGTTATATTGTCCT